GGGCAGTCATTGGGGGTGCGCCCCCCCACCCCGCCACATGGGAGCTCAGCAGGTGCGCGGCCCCTCTTGTGCGGGTGGCTGGCTGGTGCCCGCTTCCCCCACAGCTGCCATCTTGGCTCCAAGAATTCTCTCCAGAACAAGTCCACCTTGCGGCAGTGTGGTGGCTTTGCTGTACCAGTCCTGAGGAGGACCGGTGTCCAGCATCCATTCTGGGTGAGGGAATCCATTGATTCCAGCTGTGGAAGCCTGATGGAGTTGCAGCGGCTGTGCGGCGGCACGGGCTCTGTGTGTGTGTGTGTGGGGGGGTTGGTAGCCACAAGACTCACCCATTTCGCCTTGGGAATCCTTGAATTCCTGTTGTTGAGCCTCGATCTTCACTGAGGGCCAGTCATCAACTGTTTAAGTTTTCAATTATCAATAAGCTGAAGTCTGTGGAAGGCCATTATGACCCTGCTTTAAGTGGTTCACTGCTCCCACAGCTCACCACACTGTCTCTGCCTCCGCCACCATCTTAGATCTCCTTGGCACTGCCTATCTTAACCAGTAGTAAGAATCTTTTATTTTCTTGGCACGAGATGCAATGCATGTCAAAGGCTGCATTCCTTGATCTTCTGCAACAAGTCTTTCAAGTCCTTCTCACTTTTAGCAAGCAAGGTTGTGTCATCTACATAAGGCAGGTTATTGGTGAGTCTCCCTCCAAGCCTGATGCCACATTCCTCTTCACAGAGTCCAGCTTCTTGGATAGTTTGCTCAGCATACAGATTGAATAGGTATGGAGACAGGATACAACCTTGAATATTGTATGTTGAATGTTGTATGCAGCTTGGATATTGGAAAACTGGAAATTGTTAAAAATGACATGGAATGCATGAACATCAATATATGAGGGATTAGTGAGATAAGATGGACCAGCTTTGGCCACTTTTAATCAGATAATCATATGGTATACTATGCAGGGCATGAAAAACAGAACAAGAATGGTGCTGCATTCATAGTAAAAAAGTCAATTTCAAGTTCTATCCAGAAATGCAATGCTGTGAGTGATAGGATAATATCAGTATGCATACAAGGAAGACCCATGAACATGACTATTATTAAAATATATGGTCCTACATCTAGATCCAAAGAGGAAGAACTTGAGAATTTTTGCCAAATCTTGCAGTCCAAAATTGACTGAACATGCAATGAAGATGCATTAATGATAATTGGTGACTGGAATGTAAAAGTAGGAAAAATTGAAGAAGGAATAGTATTTGGAAAATATGGGCTTGGAAATGAGAATTTAGAAATGAGGCTGGAAGTAGAATGATTGAATTTTGTATTTAAGATGATCTATTCATTACAAATAGGTTTTTTAAAAAACAGACACGACAACCTTACACATCGATCTCACATGATGGGCTGCATAGGAATCAAATTAACTACGTTTATGGAAGAAATTATTGGAGAAGTTCAATATCGGCAGTGAAAACTAGGCTGGGGCAGACTGTGGGTCAAATCGTCAATTACTCATATGCAAGTTCAAACTGAGGCTGAAGAAAATGAAAATAAGTCCACAAGAACCAAGATATGATCTTGAATTAATTCCGTCTGAATTTCAACATCATCTTAAAGAATAGGTTTGAGGCATTGAACACCAATGATCGAACACCAAATAAGTTGTAGGATGATATCCTTGATATCACTCATGAATAAAGCAAAAGGTCATTACAAAAACAGAGAAAGAAAAAAAAATAATTTTCTAAAAAAGGGAAAACATCCTGTCTTACAGATGAGGAAGCTGAGACACAGAGTTATTAAGTAGAATTGTGAGAAGTGGATTCAAGACTCAAAGCTGTACAGTGTGGGTTCAGGACCCATGCTCTCAGTATCTCTGCTAGCAAGCTTTTCATTATCACAGGAATAATTAACCTGGATACAATCAGGAAACAGAAACCATTTAGTGATTTTAACTGGGAGTGTTTAATGTAAAGAATTATTAAATTATGGGAAAGGCGTGACTATTAAACACAAGGTAACTAAATTTGGCAATCTGGGTGGAAAGAGTTTATCCATAGAAGGACAAATTAAGAGTTGGGATTCCTTCAGCAATAGTTGAGTTCAAATTTCAATAGAAAAAAGTCTTCCTGGGTGGCAGATAAATTTGTTTGTCTTCCCAAACCAGAGATGTTCTGTGGTCACTGGGAAGTAGTAAGAGCCCTCTAAAACATGTACATGGCTGCCAGTTCATGGTTGAATATAGATGTTCAGAGAAAAAGGGACTTCAAGAGGACTGGAGCTCATCATATCCACATCAAGACCAGGCTGCACTAGAGCTACAAAGATGTGGAAGAACTGTGTATTCTGGGTATCTAACTAGATAGAGCAGCATCTTACTGAATATCTTCACCCACAACAGCTGAAAAAGCCAGAAAGCACATTCCCCCTGCACTGTTCCTCTAGAACTTTCTACTGTGAAAGCTTAACACTGTGCTCACTGTAGAGAAGGAATGCTCAAAGGATTCACATTCATTATCACAGACCATATTTTGTAGGGTGAATATGGAACCTAGAGCCAATGTATTGCTAAATGCACAGAAAGCCATATAATCTGGTCACGCTACCTTGTAATGTGGCTCATTCTGTGTTTCCAAGGACTTTTCACCTGCTGAGTAACCCAGACCTTGTGCTGGCTGTGTCTATGAACAAGGCTGGAAATGAAGTTGAGGGATTTCCAGTTATTGTCCAGGTAAGCATATATAGGTTAAAGAATAATCATTGCTGTATGTTTATTTAATTTTAAGAAAAACTCCATGTTTTCTTCCTGAGAAGAAAGAAAAGCATCCTATCTTGAATGTCATTGCTAAAACCTTCACATTAGTCTGCTCGGATTTCAAAGTGAACATGTTCATACAGTTCTTAATTTAGGTTAACCCAGCAGATGGTGATTGTGGGCTTGCTGCATGCCAGACAATATGCTGTTTGCTGAAATCCAGTGGTGAGCATGGCAAATTGTTCCCCAACATTCATGGAACCTATAATTCTAACACTGAGTGCAGTTAAGTTACAGATTCACAAATGTTTTATTTGATGAGTAGGAGCAAATCTAAGTCATCCTTCTTGGTCACTAAAGAGAGGATGATGGTCAAGGAAGCCTTCTTAGAAGGTGTGAACTTGTTGGTTCTGAAAGGCCCATTCTTCTAAAAGGCTCATTTCAAATTCACTTTTGCAATACTGATAGCATCAAAACACAATGTTAGGCTTCAGAGAATTCTGGTTTCTATGCAAGTTTTGTGTGAAGAATTAGGAGCTATTTTTATTATTATTATTATTATTGTTCATGTTTGCCTGTCATGTTCAGTTACTTATAACCAAAACCACTAAGACAAGGATACGTGTTTTTATTCTGAGGAGGTGAGAAAAGTTTAGGCAAGTCCCTGCTCTGCACTTAATTTTGGTATCCTCTACAGTATTTATCATCTTCTTGCGGAACATAATACATTGTCTCCAAGTAACATTTGGTTTTTATTTCACGTTTTTTTAATAGTAATGAGGTAACTTGTTTTGCAGAGCTTGAATCCAAAATTGGAACAAAGCAATCTGGACAAATATAAAAAAATAATTAAATCTTTCAGCCTGATTATTAGCAGGGACTAAAAATTAATCCTAGCCGCCACAGTATATATAACTGCATTCTTCTCTGTCAGGTAACTCCCCAATACAGAACACCCCGAGATAAAAACTTCATTCAGACACAAATTTAGTTTGTGTTGGACACAAATGTAACCAGTTTCATGAAAAGATAAATGTGGATATATTCTTCTGAGTTTTTCACTTTATAAAAAATAATTTTAATCTAAAAGCAACTTATAGGACCTTTCAAGGTTCTTTTTCTCTGCTGTTGTCTTATTTTTATTTTGTGAAACAATCGGTTTATGAGAAAATATTATAAAATAATAAAAACAAAGTGTATGATATTAATGTTATAAGACCCTCTTTGTTTCTTAGAAACATAGGCTTTTTTTGTTTTATAGATTTTTAAGAATAACTCTTACTGTCTAACTCATTAAATTGGTTCTTGTTGTTGGTGGTGGTGGTGGTGGTATATGTCATCAAATCAAAACTAGTCAAAGCTGACCCTCTAGTGAGTTTTCAGAGGGCAGCAGTTAATCACATGGGAAAATATGCCCATTCTTCTCTCACAACCAGCTTGTGGACTTTTCTTATTCAGTATCAATAATTGTCTTTGTAAACTCTCTTCTTCATTGTTGTCAAGTGGAAACTGACCATCAGTGATTCTCCAATAGGTTTTCAGAGGCTGTAAATTGCACAGAAGGAGACTGTGCTTCTGTCTTCCACTAAGCAACAGGTGGATTTGAACTACCTAACTTTGGGTTAGTAGCACAATTCCTTAACTACTAGGCTACAAGGGCTCCAACCTCTTGATAAGGTTGGTATTATTAATTATAAAGTTCCTTGAGTTATGCTCTAACTAGTTGGAACTTACATACTGATTTAAATTCCGTCAAATTGAAGCTTTTGTATTTGGTTGGTTTTGTTGTGTTTGTGTTTTTTTCCGTCCATTTTACTTGAATTAGAATAAGCATCCTTTTCTACTATAAAGTATGTTTACAATTTTTTAAAAAAGTAAAAGCTAAAAAAAAATCTCCTTTATATTCAAAGAAATACAAATTAAAATATAAAGTCCCATTTTTTCCATTATTAAGTTGCTTATGTTAGATAGAGGGTTCTGATGGAAAATAAATTTGGGGAAAGCATTATTTTATTCACTATTGGCAGAAGTATAAAACAGAACAACCAAAATAAAATAACCTTTCTCAGAAAACATTTTGATATGACATATCATAATCTTTTAAAAGTACCACATCCTTTTCCCCGTGAGTCCACACCTTAGGGTTTGTCCTAAAGGATTCATTGGGTATATACACAAAGCTTTATTGATAGGATTATTCAATGCTATTTTGCTCATAATAGGGAAAATCTGATAAAAACCCTACATGTTTAACTACTAGGAATTAGTAAAATAGAAGTTCTCTAGTAATAAATAGTAGAAATCCTTAAAATATCAGAAAAAGGCTATTAAATATTGTTAAGATAAAAAATAATTTCTCTTCCTCCTCCTCCTCCTCTTCTTCCTCCTCCTCCTCCTCCTTTTCCTCTCCTCCTCCTCCTTCTCCATCAGTAACTGACTCGATAATCTCTCTTTCTCATTGCTGTTGATTGGGAACTATTAATAAGTAACCCTCCAGTAGTTTTTTATGCCTTTAGCTTTGTAAATGAAATATGAAAAAAATGTAAAAAGAAAATATGTGTATTTATAAAGGTGTTTATATGAGAACAAAATATCAATAGTTATTATTATAATAGTCTATGTGTTTCCTACTGCCAAAGGGGCCCTTTAGAGTAGTGAGAGAAGATCTTCACCCTGAAACTCACAGCGTCCCTTTTCCGCAGGAAGTAGCTAAGAGAATACACCATCCCCTTTTCCTTATGACTCAGGGTGAAGTCTCTCTCAGGGAGGAGTGATAGGGAATGGCAAAGGACACACTGACAAAGAAGATTAATCAGAA